TACATTATTAATATCTGCCACGCTCGTGCACTAAAACAAAAGTTACAACACTTAACAATTTTGGAAAACTATCGATCCCCCTTGCCGCCACAGAAGGAATGAAATATCATTAAGCCATTTTTTCTTTCTATTACCAAATCTTCAGAATCCAGTTGCTACCTACGACGCTTGAGTCTACAAATTTAGCATCCTGGGCTCCCCACAATGTATGCGTGAATGGGCATGCTAAAAAGCCTGTCTTGCAGAATGTATGTAATTGTATTTCTAACTCTTTTTCCTAATTGGGTAGTTTCCTAGGTCAAAAATAAATTAATTTGACGTTTCAATACAATAAAATATTGAAAAATAATTAGGTATACTTTTATTCATCGATCGATCACTAAGTTTTAGATATTTTGTAGCTAATTATTACGAAATAAGTAAGGTATTTGATGCAAAATTACTATAACTCAGTGTTTCTTACAAATTTCATAGAAAAGTATCGTTTTTGACATTTGAATAAAAGTATTGAATTTGACTAGTTGGAAACTATTTCGACGTTTGCTTTCTTACGGTGGACCAAAGCATGTAACAGCTATTAAAATCAATTATTCGAGCAAAGAATTTTAAAAAGGATAATATTTACCGATCAATCTTGTTATTTTTGCCGACCACAAGTAGTGTCTTATCTAACTATATTTTATTTTATTTTTTTTATTTTTTATTTTATTTATTTAGGCTTACCAACTAAGACACATACAGACAATCTTAAAAATAAATAAAACAACAGTTAGTGTATGCTCTTAAATTAAAGGTAGGCTCAACATTATTTTTAAGTAGTTCAAGTAAAAGAGTTAAAAATTAAAAGTTATTAAAAATAAAAGAAATTGGGTAAAACATAAGAAAACTGTAAAAAATAAAAGTAATAAAATTAAAAATTAATAAAATTAAAAATTAGGCAAACTCTTAATGTCTCTTTTAAATACACTTATTTTGCTTGCAAATATATCCAAGTCGTGTTTTTTATAAATGTCATTACACTTTCTGAGAGTATAAGTGAGAGGTGCGTTGCTGCCATACTTATTTCGGGTATGTTTCGTGACGAATGGGGTACAATTTACTAGCCTGGCTGAAGACCTTGGTACTTTTATTTGAATTTGGGACAACAAAGATGGACAGTCTGTTCTACTGTTTAAAATTTTATATAAGAATATCAACCCACAATAGTCTCTGCGCCAAAGCAAGGATTTCATTTTAAAATGCTCAAGTCTATCATTATACTCTTTCACACTATGCCGTATACCACAGATAATAGATAGTCTTCTTAAGAATTTTTTCTGTACTTTTTCAATTCGCTGTATGTTATTTTGATACATAGGATACCACACTACGGAACAATATTCGATGTTGCTACGCACAAGAGCATAGTAAAGTGCTTTTTGTGTAAATATTTGCAAACAACTCGCCATATATTTACATAAAACATTTTACAGCTTACCAAAACCTCAATATTTAGTTTCTACGTAGGTAGGAAATATGTGTTAGCTATAAATATTGATGAATATTTATAGCTAACACTATAAGTAACAACAATTAAAACTTGTAATAGATAATTATGTACTTTTATAACAATGGCAAAGCTACCTACCTAAAATGGTGACTTAATTTTCGTATTTCATTACGAGTAATATTTTGGTGCTACAAATGTATGTATTTTACTTCTAAATGTGCAACCGATTTCATATTTGTCCCATAATTTATTACTGTATAGGATATCTTACAATAGTTCAACTGATAAGAATGTGAAACCTTTATTTAGAACAATAAAAAACTATGAATTTATAACATTACTGGAGCTATTAATTGTATGTTAAGTTAGCAAACCTGTAGATAAGGTTAGCATCTGTTATGAAAGATTTCTTTATATATTATTATACAGAGCTAAAAACCTATTCTAAAATCTATTCTGCACATTGATATATTATTTCATTGTTTCTATATGTATAACAGTAGTAGCAAATTGCAAGTCCCAGTTCAGTTATTAAGTTTATTTCAATTTTAAATCGGCTCAATTAATATTAATCAATGACAGACACCGTAAAATCCAATAACCATTTACCAGATCGAATAATATTGTCCACATTTTTGTTTAAATTTTAGTTGATTTTGTAATAAAGGTTTTATCTTTTACTATACGATACTTATGAATGTTTTTTTTCATGTTACTCATATATGAATGTAAATACACCTTCTTTCACAAGTAATTACACGATTGCCCAAAATAAGGTTTGTTATGTTTTTGGTGTGAGTAGTATTTTTTATATTAATTTTATTTTTATTGTTTCATCGATTGGTGTTTCTCGACAACATATGAATTTAAATTATTATTATATCATCATCTAAGTTCTTAATTATTATTATATCAAAAATACTCCTCACCTGTAATTACTTTCAAACCAAGCTCTTTGTACTTGATAGCTTATCTACTAATTATTATACAAGTATATAGATTTTAATATTATGACATACCTACATGCGAAGTGTTTTCAATAATGTTTACACAGACGAACTAAACAAAGAACATCCCGAAACAACGTAACTTAATCGGATACATCTTTATACTTACGTAAGATGCGTAACGCTCTGCTGAATAACTAATGCAAAAAATGACCTGTAAAACATTCCGTGAAGTTTTTATGTTAACAATAAATGTTTATTGTTTATGTTATTACAAACGATTCCGTTTAGACACGCCACAATACTTTATTTTAATGATCCGAGAATATTATTTGATCGTAAAGTTCATTGTTCTAATATGCATTAATCCTAGATTTCGTTGCCAAATGCGGTTTTGCTTTGCATTGAGAAGTAAGTGCACTCGAATATAAATTGAAGTTTATTACAAGACTACTGGTAATATACTGATATATTCACTGGATTGTAACATTGGGTTTCCGAACGAGACATTGAAAAGCTGGTTCCAAATACTAGGCCATGCAGCGAATCTATATCGATTCAGTTTATATATGAACTAGAACAAGACTTTGTGACACATATACTACAAATGTGTACAATATTCTATGCTCTTAATGTAATTGTTAAAAGATGAACTTATGAAGACTGGTTCGGTTAGTGGTTTTTTTTTTACTTGATATAAACTAGTGCTTGACTGCGATCCCACCTGATGGTAAGCAGTGATGCAATCATTGATGGTAAGGCGCACTAGTTTATTAAGAGTCTATACACTCTAGCCTTGAAGACATCTAAATTGTATTTGGACGGAAATACTGCAGCCGGCAAACTGTTCCAATCCCTTGTACGCGGTATAAATGATGAGGCAAAACGCCTAAACGCAAAAGTTTGGGTGAACACCGTATTATATGAACACATACATATCTACCTCATATAATCTTTGATCCGATATTTAGTCCGTTTCCGATAGTTACCGCTTAATATTAGTACCGCACATAATTGATTTAAAAATTTTGATTAGGATACAATAAACAATACTGCTTGTAGATATTGCTTTATTTAACAAAATTATAGCCAAGAGAAGTTCAACCTCCAGATTTAGTTTGAGCTAGAACACGTATAAAATTATTAATAGTCACAAATCACAGGAAGTAGGTAATATCACTATAGAGAAAGAAAATAAAATCATCTTTCTACATACACCTAAATACGAATTACAGTAATAATATCACCACTGAGATACCTACATTGTATTCTAAATATGTATCTATGATGATCTCCTGCGAAGACAGCTATTCAATTACTCCCTAGTTGATATTTTATACTCTAATACAAAAGTACACAATTCATACTTAGGCTAAGAAGATACTCTAGGCGAATCTTGAAAGCTTGTAATGATGTTACATTATACTATTATTACTAATACGTAAGTAGTACATAATATCTACTCTTATTTGGTTACACACCGCAACTGACGCGATCGTCGTCTATATTTGAGATTCAAGCGACACTGATACTAACGCCCTAACCTAACCTAACAATCAATATCACAATATAGCTACTTAAATACATAAAGATTTAAAGATGAGGCAACACCAACTATATAAGATTTACTGCAAAAACGGTGTTACATAACTGTGAAACTCGTATTTGCTCATGCAGGTATGATTGTGAATCATTATTTGTTTCAGTTTATTGAAATTTGCTTATTCAAGTATTATAAAAACAATACAATTGGTACCAGTAATATAAGCTGTGTAAGAAATACGTACAACACAATGATGCAATGAAACTGAGTTAAAACCTAACACATACCCATATCAGGCGGAGATATAATGTGGGAAAATGTGTTGTTCGAGAAAACCTTTCCTATTCAATGGAAGCTAATACTGAATGGAAGCTGATGACTGTCGACAGTTAATTGTAAACTGGGTTTATTGATACAATTTGATTCTTAAATATATCACATATAGAATAGTTTATTACATAGTGTAAAAGTGGTTAACAGACTTAAAATATATCTTAAAAATAAAGGATAGCTACATGAACTTAACTAACTGGTTCTGTTATGTTCATTGAATTAATTATTATTCACGCAAAAATATAAGAGTGGGCCTTTGGCTATCTACGTGACACTGATGTCGACGTGAGGTACATGTACATATGTCACATTTTTACACCTGAAATGCGTTGCTGAATGACCTGAATATCTCTCTTATCAAATGATTTCTGCTTTGCGTTAGTTTCAGGTCATAAATAATACGCTTGTAATTTGAATGATGTATTATTGATTTTACTTCGTAAAATTTCTGAACCTAGTCAAGGTATCTTATTACACATACACGTTTTCCACAAGGTGTATTGCCATTTTTGGTAACTGCTACATTTTAATGGTTTCCGGACTGATAATAATAATTACCCTGAATTATAATTTAAAAGTTAATTTATTATTGCTATTCTTCTTATTACGTATTGAACAAACAAGACAAGATGCAATGTCTTATTGCTTGATCTTGGAATTAAATATTCCAGACCTCTCGGCATTTTTAACCATACAAATTATATGTAAAGAAAATCAACGTGATCCCATCACGTCTTCATGACATATTTTATCAAAGTAAACATCTTATCAACACCTTAAGCTATTGTTTATTATTTTATTTAAGTTGGAAGTAAAAATCATTGTACATGTATTGTTTCCAGTTACGTGTGGATTATTCAATATTATGTAGATATGGATAAATGCGATTAGACATGAATGTCACAGGCTCTCAACATTAATATTAAACTTACGTAACAACCATTAGACAGCACACACTTTCTCATTATTATCAACCAAAGATAATGGACAACTAGCAATTAAAATGCCTCCGTAGTAATATCCAGGTACTCGGTCTCAATGAAATGTTTCTTAGAATTTATGCACGAATAGATTCTCAACATTTACTTGTGTCATTACTTAAAAATAATAAACAGAAATTTCCTATTGTTTTTATAAATTCATGATATAGAGTAAATCCCATTATTTACTTAAAATATAATCTTATAATATTTGTGTATTATTAACTCATCTTGCAACGATTCTTTATCAATCATACGAGCAATTTTGCCTTTTGATCGGCACACCAAAGATAAGAAGGACACTTTAAATAAGAGACAGTACCTACAGACGATGTTTTGTACTGATTTACCAATCATTATGAAACTACTCATTACTGTGACTATGATGCACTTGGTTTATGACCAAATTTAATGGAAACGCTCGCTATAAATGCTTTCTTGTACATCTACACCTACTTATTCCAACGAACACCAACAGTGACACAACTCAAAAATACCTATTAATGTCGCTGGGCAATTAATACTACATTGATAAACAACATATGGCCAACATCATGTTCTGATCTCTGTGGTGTGTTTGGAGTTATGTCAATGTTGCTTAACGTGCACAAAATAGTCTTTCATCTATGAATGTAATGTAGTGATTATGTTTAATTGAATATAGTTTTGTAACATGGAATGCGGGCACAGCGCTTAGGCTGGCAGCAGAGGGTGTTCAGCAGTGTTGCCGGAGCGGAGCGGGTCATTGCCCTCAGCAGCACCATTGGACAACAGCGCATCTCCCGCGTCAGGCTCAGGCGCCGGCGGCTCCATCTGTAACGATTGTGCAATACTTTACCCATAGTAACAATGAGGAATAATTTCAAAAACTAGCCACAGTTACAATAAACTTAACAAACAAACCATCATATACATTTGTTAAATATTTATATGCTAAGCAGCATGCAAACGATTACAAATCGTATAGTTCAATTAAAAGGCAGGCGGCATATAAACAGAAAAGTTTTTGTTTAGTTGCATCAGGTTAGGCCGAAGGTGAATGATCTTAAACGAATAGTCTAATAGGTTACTTGTATATGGCGTAATCTATAGGAGTAAGTAAAGAATGTACTTGTGAATAAGTGAATTGATGGACTACAAATGGACGTGACCAAGATGTGTGTTGCACGTGAGCATTGCACGACACGATACACAATCAACAATTTCGCGAAAACTTCATAATTAGCAATAGCATTTTATAAAATTGTGACCCTAGAATACAAGGAAATTTGTTGTTTTAACAGCTGGGCAAAGATGGTGACGCTTGTGAGGAGGGCGGCCTGCCCGTCCAGTGCGACATACGGTAGTCGGCCTGTCCGGGTAGACTGTCCCCCGCGCAGCGATTTGCAAGTACCCCTTCCACAGGTTCTCCTGTGCTCATGTCCGCAGCAGCACCACGCCTCCGGCACTTCGACAACAAACCATTATGAAGGCATAACTCGATGTAATTGTGTTATAACATTCGTCGGTTACGATGTCACAATTGACCGCTATTATGTATGTATGTCTTAGAAATATTTTTACATGAACACATGACGTTTACCTCCGGTAGTAGAAGTCCATGGTCATGCTGTGGGGTCAATGTATTTGGTCAAGTGGGCATTCATGTGATGATTTGTTAACTTGTGAAGCATTTTCATACATCAGTACAATGATAGGTACCCAATGTGACCTCAGATCGCAAATTTAGGTACTTTATCAGGAAAATTTTGGAAAGTAAATGATTTTAAACTGCAAGTGGTGTTGTAACCTAATCCCACAAATAGAAGGCGAGTACCTACATAAATACCAACATGAAATTGATATTGCAAAGGTTACTTTTTTAGTTCAAGTGCAGCTCGTTCGTATTTGTCGGTGCATGGTGCAATTAGCATAAGCATTTGGTAGGTTATTAGATAAAATGTATTCTATGTTCACATTTGGTAATACTGACAGTGTGTTTGTCCGTCGGGCCGGTGGGCGTGTCGCGCTTGCCCTGCAGGTAGTAGGTCATGAGCTGGCCCTTGCCCTTGACCGCGACCAGGCCGCGCTGCTCGAAGTAATAGCCGAAACTCTGCAGAATCTCGCAAGTCTCTTCGGTAACCTGCGGCAGACGACCGAGTTACATCATTATTATTGTCGGTGCCAGTGGCATCAATAGACGGTATTGAACTTTTGCTAACTGTAGAAGATTCGTTCATCATTTGATCGTATGTGGACGTTTAAACGCGCCGACCTTAGGTTCGTACCTGAATGCATCCCGCTTTGCCTGTACTTTCCATGCGCGAGGCGACGTTGACTGTGTTGCCCCATATGTCGTAGTGCGGCTTGCGCGCGCCGATGACGCCGGCGGTGATGGGCCCGTGGTTGACGCCCATGCGCAGCACGAAGTGGTTGAAGGACTGTTCGTTGATCGCAGCCAGTACGCGCTGAAGTTCCAGCGCGAACTCGACCAGGCACGCCAGGTGCGCCCAACGAACTAGAACGCCGTCCGATGGCTGCGGTAAAATTAAATAACTCATCAATCATTCGCTCAAATAATCAAATATGTACCTACATTAGAAATTACGACGTCTATAAATTGTTTTTTTTTGCATTAATAGTCGGTGTATGAGCCTAATACTGAACACACAACATTAAGCGGAACATGACATATTAATCTCGTTAACACTAGTAGCTAGCTATTAGTATTACGGAAGAAATTAATACAAGTTGCTACAAGAAGGTTAAATTACGTTCATAAAATCCTTGTTGCAGCTTAATTAATCCATAGGCTCTTGATTGAATAGTGTGGCATTTCTTGGTTTAGGTAGTAGGTTCATATGTACATATACCAACTAATGTTGAGTTCTTGTCCGTTGTGCATACAAAGGATAACAAACAGTGATTTTAACTCATACAATTTAGCTCACCTGCATTTGTCGTGTTGGGTTTAGGCCTGACGCAGCCATGTACGTGGAGCTGATCGTTTTTATTTTGATTATATCTTTACTGAATTTCGAATCTTCTAGTAACTGAAACATTATAAACACAAGTTAATATTCAATTACAAAATTCTAGTCCAAAACATTTTTTTTTAATGTTGACCTATTCTGCGGCCCGCTTTGTGGGGTTGGGCTACGGCAGCTACCCTATAGTGAAATAATGTGCTACGATTTTGGGCTACGCCGTAGCCGCGTCCTTTGGGGTACTTCAGAGACCAAATTAATTACGACATATTACGCAAACAAACCAACCTAATGAAGTTGATGTAACGCGAGTTAACGTTTGATGACTACTTATAAAAGTAACGTTGCCCTATAGTTATCTTTTACAGCAAAGAAGAATGATAAGTCCTTTTACTTCCTTAATTTATCGTAAGTAGTCCCATCAAAAAATAGAAGGATTGTTCAGCTACGAAACCTAGACTGATACTTATTTGAGGAGCGAGAAATATGTATAAACATATACCTACTACGAGTATCGAAACGCTACAATGACAATTAGATTGAATTTGAACCTTCCGTTAGTTATTTGTAACAGAAGGTTGGACTTTGTCCTCCTTGGCAGAATACGATAGTAGCTTAGTTCTTTGAGCTATAGAAAGACATTGTAATGACGTTGGTGTGTTTTTTATGAAATAAAAAAGTGAGATTAAACCTAACTTTCCACGGCGATTAATTTCGTGACTAATTTGCCTTTGACAGGCTCCAGCTTGTAGAAAATTATACATATATTAATTACTAGCTACTCTCGCGCGGTTTCACCCGCTACTCAGCTCCATTTCATCGTAGCATGATGATTTATGGCCTATAGCACTCAGGAATATTGTAGCTATTTATCAGTGAAAGAGTTTTGGCAATCCAACCAGCGGTTCCAAAGATTACCCCCTACATACAAACTTACAAATTTTACCTCTTTATAATATTAGTATAGATTTGATTATAAAGGTTTTGTATAAATAACATTCGACCGGTTTTGCGATCTTAATACTTGGCAAGTTCCACGTGTGAGGTAACTGATAACAAGTTATAAAACATATAGTGACTCTTCTTTTGTAGATTCGAAATATGTAGTAACGCGGCCTCATACGTGCAGACGCGACATACGGAACTATTATGTGTGTTAGGTGAAATGTTTGTAAAACTAACAATTACCTACCAAATCGAAGTCTGATATAACTTCGTTGAGAAACCGTAAACATTCTAGGCCTTGGTTATTAACTGTTTCTTCCGAGTAGAACTCTGTAACAAACAATTTCATACACTTGCCTCACCAATTAATATTTTTTCATAACGTTTTTTCAAAATCAACATTCATTCATTACCATAAGCCATTCTAGTAACGACATGCATAATGAGTTATTGAAATAGAAATATTAATATAAACAAAATAAAAAACCAATAAACGTGTTCATTAATATCTTAAAAGTAAAAAAAAATCAAGGTAAACAACGAAAATGAAGCGACATTTTTATAACAGTGTAAAAGATGCATGTATTACAAACATGTTACATGACCTTTAAGAATTAGGTGTATTATAATAACTGTTAACGATTTCTTTTGGAATTCATATTTGATTGACGTCGATACAATTGATTTCATTACAATAATAAGTGGAAGTGTTTAGGCTATCGCCAGTAGATTATACCTGAAAAGTTAGGCATGGAAGCGAAGAGCACGCCGACCTCGGCGTAGCTCTGGCTGTAGAGGTCGCGATGGTGGTGGCGCGCGCCCATGAAGTGGCGCGCCACGTGCGGCGGCAGCACGTTGTGGATGAGCGCCTGGTTGCGGCGCCGCAAGTCCCCCGCCTGCTCCGCCTGCGCACGCATGCGCTCTCCGCGCGAGTGCCGCGCGCGATCCAGGGACTCCACCTGCACCATTCCTCATCAACAGGCATAGTCCTAACCACAGGTAGGCCTTATAATCTGCGTTTACGGGGTCAGTACCAGTAAACAAAACACGACGTTGTTACATTATGTGCAATGACTGTTTTTTTTTAAATTTCGATTTGTTTTATGTTTATTTTGTATATTGTATTTGTTTTACATGCTGATATAATCAACAATACCAAGGTCCAAGTCGCCTTAAATAAATTAAATGATAACTATTTCCCTTTTACCTCGTAGAACATGAATACTTATCATAGAAGACAGTGTAAAATAAAATAATTGTTGACGTTTACATAATTAGTTTAAAATTTCAGTACTAACTAATTAGTGGGTACTAATTAGTTAGTACTGAAATTTAAATAAATAAAAATAATACATACATATCTGTTGAAAATAAGCAACGCCACCACTATGAAAAACAGCATTATTATGTTACGTCCACCATGGATGCGGGCCCTGTAAGTTAATACTTTATTTACATTTCTGTGTTGAAGTATCTATAAAGCAGTGCCGGATTCACCCTGTACTAAGAGCAAGAGTAGTGATTGTTACGAGCCTCTAGCAAAATGGACTCCCCTTGTTATTATCCAAACCCACCGCTATTACCGTATTTTTGTATGAATCCAAAATCAAATTGAGGGCAATATTCGCTTTCCACATGCCTTATCTACCACTACCCTATAGATATATGAGAGCAAAAAATTTAATGGTAGCCAGTAGTGAGTTTGACTCACAGAATAGCGAGGAGATCTTCATCGTAGTCGGTGGTGGCGTTGAAGCGCACGCGGTAAGGGTCGCGGTCGAGGCTGGGCCGCGAGAGCAGCAGCGCTGGGTGCAGCAGCGCGGGCACCGCGTGCACGGCCGCCACCAGCGCCAGCAGCAGGCTGCGCGCGCAAACGCCCAGCGGAGACACCCACAGCGCGCCGCACGCCGCCCCCGCACCCACCTGACACCACACACTCATTTACCTAATTTGTTGACACAGCAAACTGATGCCTATCTGATAAGACCATTATAAAACACGAAATCCAAAGAGACATCACTTGTCCGCCCCTTACTACACACACAACGAAAATACTATTTGGATTTATGATCTTGTTTTTTGGGTTTTGAAATTGTAGAGTTAACTAATTATGAAAAAAAAAGAATATGTTTCTGTCGGGAACGGAAATATTAAGTATATCATTGAAATTTCTCGCTATCAATAATCATATCAATTTAAAACATATTGTATCTAATATAACATTTTTTCATTGTAATTTTTTTCATTTTTTATACACGAGCTACAATAGATGGTGTCATACCTTACTAAAACACATTTAAGTAATATCTATACAAAGCATGACTCAAATGTGGGGGAAGAAAACCGAAACTAGCCAAAATGTGTACTTCTTATAATCGTTGTTAACTAATTGAATGAACAAGTTTTCACTGGGGCATTACCACAAAATAACGCTTCGTTAGAAACTATACTTCCTAAAACGTTTAGTTTGCTACTAGCAAGTAGGAATGTTCCTACACACATCTATGTGTGTAGATTAGTAATTTATGACTTTGTAAGAATTAAGGAAAAAGTTAAATTATCATCAGCTGTTTGTCTTCCCACGGTGCGAGATTAAAAAGTCGAACGAGGGAAATAGGTTACTACGATGTTTGTACAAGCGACACAGATGAAAAACCTGTCGCTAGATTTATGATTGTGTTTTGTTGCATTCATTTAACCTAAACAACTTTAATACATTTATAGTAATAAGTAACAGTGACTTTTTACGACTATATGCATATGGTGAGAAAGCTAGGACGTTTGAAAGGTCAACTAAGTTATACAACACATCGCTGAAAATATAAGTAATCATTTTGATAGGTATGTAGATTGTTTATATAATACCTGCTAGCGGGTCTGCTAGCGTTTATAATATGAACAGGCCACCAAAACTCAAGTTCTTTATGATGCATAATTAAATATTAGCCTTTAGGTACATCGTGATAAAATATTCTTAATATTTTACAGTACCTATTTCTAAATGTAACAGTATTACACGTTAACAAAAGAGGGGGAGGAATATAAGCTAGTTGATTGCGACAACATTTGTATATAAAACAATGATGTAAGAGTCTAGTCTAGTGCTCAATTTCACATGTTTCTGTTAATTTCTTAAAGCTGTTCAGAATAAGTTGTGCCCAATCGTGATATTTATTGATCGTTAGATTGCTGCCGGCATCGAAATGTGAAAGTAGAAAAGGTACTTCACATGGTAGTAATAAGAAGGATGTATGCAGCGCCTTGCGCCGCTGTGCGCTGGCGCATCGTCTCGTAGCCCATCCTCAAGAAGCATCGTCTCGAAATTGCCGCAAATTATCTGTACAAACACATAAAAATATCATACATATATTCATAGAAAGCAACGGAAAGTTTACTATTCGATAGATGAGTTAGGAAACATAATTATCATATGCGTGCTCAGCGAACTGTAGCAGTTTAATTTGGTGTTCTCAGAAAAACTTTTGGATGAAAGCGCGCCAACAATGTTAATATTATAACGATGTGCATAAAGTTCAATGAGTTCCCAGTGCGCGATGATAGTGACAGCTGTAACGATAGCGATAGTAGTCGTGACTCGACAGACGCGGTGGAAATAGAAACACAAGCATGATAGTGAGAGTGGAGCGGCGACAGTGAAGATAGCGCCGAGAGTATTACACAGGCACACTCACCAGTGGCGCAATGTTCGCGGCCACAAACATCGCGATGTTGAACGTTCCGCAAGTCAGCTTCCAATAAGGACTTACTGTTTTCTTCTGTAACATTTACAACAAACAAACATAGTTATTAGTCATAACGTAATAAGGTATCTCTTCGTTTTTATTTATATTTTTTTAAACTATAATATTATGCAAACTATTATAATTCTACTTCTACTTAGTGCAGTTGGTAGTATTTATAATAAACATTTATTTAAATAATTGGGCTGACTGACCTTATACTGGGAGTATCGGTAGCACGTGTAATAGACCACATTGATTAGGCCGGTCTCTAGCACGAGGGCGAGGTAGACGGCATGCAGCGACCAGGTCGGCGGCACTGCGAAGCTGGCGAGCGCGACCACGGCGGGCAGCAACATCAGCGGCGGCGCGGCGATGGCCAGCGGGCAGGGGTCCGTGCGTCGCGCGTACACGTCCTCCGCGCCCGAAGCTTTGAACGTCAGGCACAACGTCGTCCCATCCGCCAGTTCCCTGGTACAACAAGGCATTTTACCCATTCGATATATCTATCTACAATATTGCTAGACTATAACATTCTGGAAGATACACTTGTTTATAGGCACTATGTTTATGTTATAAGAACTGTTTTTTTTTCTTCACATTAGTGAGTAGGTACTCTAAAATTGAATATACATGAAGACAAAGAAACTATATACTATAAGATGCTCTCTTTTGTAATATGTCATTAATTAAGCCCAGGAAGCAAAGCGTACGATCACCAGTTCTGCTCAACCATGTCACTACTATTACCGACATCAACAGTAGACTAGTGTAGACTAGGTTTAAGAATTAGGCACTTATCGAAATTAATATTTAGCAGTTAATAATGCAGTAAGTGTTCGAAATTGCAAAGCAAATGTGCATACGTACACCGAGCGGAATAGTACCTAAATGTGTTTATTGACACGGTTCCATTAAATGCGCCTAAAATAGCATATTGTAACTATTTGCGATATACTGCAGTATCCGAGCAGATTGATCTTCATTCGCCTATTACACAAAGTGATAATGAAAGGGTCTCATAAATGCACATCGTTATTATCATCAATTTCTTCATAATTTCTTTATGGAGTAATAATAATATTATTTATTATTACTCCATAAAGATTTATGAACATATGTACATGGATATAAATAATATCATCATATTAATGATGATATTATTTATATCCATGTACTTCGATATGTTGAAATTCTGGTAAATTAGTTAAATTTCAGTCGCTAATAAGATTGTGATTTTTACTCAAAAAAGCAACTGAAACGTAACTAAAACTTATATGAAAAGAAAAGCAAAAGTCTCTATGGATAAAGAAGCAACATGTCTCGATGAAAACATTTTAAGATAGGTACTAATACTACTTAATATGATAATAAGAAACGATAGAACAGCTTTAACGTTCAGGAATGAGGTAACAATGACAGGTTGACAAAAGAACAAGCTATCGTGAACAGTTTGCGGACAGCACGCGGGCGAGTGTGTGACAAATCTGGATACACCTTCACAGTTCGTTTCTAAATAAAACAGAACTGAATGTCTAGAAAATTGTACACGCTCAAACACATTTGACCAGTTATACGATCCTATCAATTATACTCGAGATGGCTTTGCCCTTCACATTCCAACGAACGTGTAAAAAGAAACAAACATTATGATTCAGTATTTCACAAAGAACATGTAAACAAATAAATTAAATTTAACTTACTACACATTTACTGGCAGCAGATTAGATGATAAAACCAAATGAAATTACAAATGTTATAGCAATTGCTCAGTACCGAATGGCTTAAGCAGTTTCTGTGATCTTTGAGAAAACCAAAACAAATCAAAAGAATAATGTAACAAAAAAAACACACCCTAAACAACATTTTTTACTGTCAAATAGTAGTTGATATGCAAATAAACCTAAATCTGATCGAAATGAACAGCTTCGGTTTTGCTTGGCATTGGCACCTACTTCAAAAACAAAACTAAGTGCTATTTCTGTATTTTTACATTGTAGTAGAATTCACATTGCAGTAACAGTTACCATTAAAAGTTGGGGTTATTTTAAACTAAACTTGTTCTTTTGCTACAAAAACCAAGGGAGTACTGGGTAGAAGGGAAACAAAGAGACAAAAATGTTCACGTTACCAACACGACATAACAATACTCGTAATATTGTGCAATTCCTGTGAACTTACTTGTCGTCATCTCTATTCACCAGTTCTTCTTGCAACATGCTAAGTATTTTCTGTTCTTCGTTGTCCTTGCTCTCGTCTTGTGGCGACAGTACCTACGAATAATGTACGAAGCATGTCTATGTAATTGACAAGCAAAAAATCAATAAGATAGCTCATGATGGGCGTACTTTTATCATCAATATTCAAAATCTGTCGAAATATAATGAACGATCGATTCGAGCGAGATTATTTTAACCTCCTACGTTAGCTAAACTAGGAACTATCTAGCTGAGGCCGCCTAGTGCCCTAGTGTCCCATTTATTTAGGCGGTAGCGAGGGAGCGGCGAGGGGGCCGGGGAAGCGCAGTAGTGCACTCACCGAGTCCTCGTCATCGTCTCGGAGGTCGGAGAGCGTGTCGGCCGCGTCGCCACCCTCCGCGGCCTCGCCCTCCACTGCACTCTTCTCCTCGCCTCCTTGAAACTGTATGCCACAATCACAGATTCAGTGAACATCAATCTTACTTACGGATACCTTACACTAGATTAGTTAAGAAGTTTTAATCCTTTCCTTGGCACATTATAGGTCCCAAAATTCTAGTTATTTTTTCTGATAAATTCATTTTTCGTTATGATGTACACATAATAGCTACTTGTAAACCATGTGCATCTGCCCATTTCAAAGTTTAAATATACGATTAAACTTTTCCTACGTATTCGATGCCAATGAAGCAAATAATAAATTGTACATTTTTCATTTCACTTTGTTCGCATTTTCTGCTTTGTCGACCCACTTCGTTTCGTCCGCTCTGTGTAACATAGATAAGTTAAATAAGGTTCTATGTACCCGACACTCGTGCTCACAATTCTAGTCTTGCCTACATAAATAACTTATTAAGGCGGTCTAGTTCATATTCATCGTTCGATATTCTGTATTATTTCGGTAACATATAATTCTCGTCAGCTAAACTAAACACAGTTGAGATTTAAGAAATGTAGACATGTTAAATTATATTTTTGATTACTTCTGGCCTGTAAATATTTAACATACTTGCTTCTTACAAGCTGTCGGAGTTTTGAGGTCATCTATACATAAAGCAGCTCGTAATGAAATCGCGGTCGAAATGTTTTTTTTTAACAAATAGGTATCTGTATTTCCTGGCTTAACGGAAGTGAAATATGTATGACTTACAGTTTATTAAAATACTCAGAAAACATTGATATTTATAATAGTACGTACCTATCAACCGGTCTATCGATGTTACATTTACTTGGCTATGTAATATAATATCGACTAAATACATGTCTTTAACCAATTAGACTAAATGCTGTAGAATCGATTAATTAACCTTACATGAAGATTACATGGAGACGATTCTAAAATAGGTTTATAATAAAAAAACGCGTTTTGTTTCATTTCACCTGACGCGATTTCAGCACCAAGCATAGTGACAACTACAAAACTTAGTTTTACATTATATTATTTATTTTATTTTATTGATTTTATTAACAAGATATAATAATATATGTAACGTTATGAACTATTTATCTTATTTATTTAGATACTTTGTATGTCACATTGAAATGAAACTAAAATATAAAATACCATTTGATTATAGTATTATTTTGCTTCTTTAAATAAATTTAGTCTCCCATTTACAGAAAAATATTAATTTATACTAGCTACTGCCGCTCTTCTAGAGGTCTTATTCTATTTTTAGTGATTTAGCCTTAGCCTTCCTTAATAAACCGACTATCCAACAACAAAAACTTGTTCCATTCGAACTAGCTGTTCCGGAGATTTTGTTTTGAAAAAGACTTTAGCTTTATAATATTAGATAGTATAGTTAGATGTAGGTAACTGTATCTAACCGTAAAATGAAATTACTAAGGATATGTAAGTCACACACAAGTATCAAACTGAGACTGATAGATAAGCTAAGCTCGAATAAATTTAAAATTTCTTAGAATTATAATTTCTTTTTTCTTTCAATGTCTAGAAACAGACAATATTTATTTAAAAAACATGTTTCAATGACCTAGTTTAATATTAAGTTTTTTTTATTTGTATTTTATAGAATGCTTTGTTTAATTTCTGTCCACAACAAATGCACCACACACGTCCCGACCGACTTTTCTACTAAGATTCTTTGGTAACCACAACTCGGGACCCCAAGATACAGGCCTTGGACCGCCGTTCCAAAAAGCAATGTCCGCTACAACACCAAGTTACAACAAATAATTGTACCTAATAGTAACTAACTTTAAGGCAAACTTTATGTAACTGTGGATAAATAAATTTTATTATTATTTATTATTATTAATTTTGTTACACTATACATTACTTAGGTACTTAGAGATAAGCGTCACCGACTTTGGTCCCACCTATTCATTAACTAAACAGGATGCTATACTGAGCTGTAACGTCGAGACCTTGTTGTAGATAGTGTCTGGAGATGCGAAGGCCTATCTACAAAAGATACTCTTCAAAGGTCAAGTTAAAATATTGGCACGCATTGTGTACAAAAATATTTGTGTGAAAGGTAGATATTGTAGTCAAGCTGTTGCAAGGCTCGGCTTTCATGGCAAGCACCCATAACATTTATTATTTATCTTTGAACGCAGAGATATTACAAACACGGTGATATATTGTACTACATAACTAAATAAAAACATAAGTACAGATATATTCCTGCATCCTCTAATTAAAATCTGCTCTTAACTACAACATAATTATAAACTTTTTCAATTCCAATTTCGTTTTAATAAAAATAAATTAAAGAAACCTTCAGCAAGTTATAACAAACATAATTATATCCGTATCTACATATTTATTCGACGTAGAAGAAAGATTTTAAGACGTTTTTTTGAAGAAATGTATCAGAGAGATCTTTATTGGCAACAGGAACTTATTGCAAAGTGGATTGAAGAGCTTATGACGGTTTCTAAGAAATACGCAACTCTACGTTTAGCGTAAATGTTTATTCTTCATTACACGGTTGTATGTGGTACGTTCTCAGTGATGTAAACGCATCGACATTACACCCACACTTACAGAAATATGACATACAAAAATATACAAGGAACAAGGTGCAAGTACCCAGGTGTGGCTACAACGAGTGACGAGAGAAATATTGATAAATATGCTTCATTGCATAGGTACTATGAGAGTGCTGCGCGTACAGTGCGTTAGGTTAAACGGGGGACATATACAAGGACCCGATCCTGGTGCTCAAATAAAACAAGTTTTTCCATAAAACCCATATATCATGGAAAAGCTTTTTTTTCATATTTCCGAAAAAAAAAAACTTTTCGATGCAAATGATCAATCAGATGTTGCGGTTCGTATGGGGAAATAAATTTATTTTTGAGATTTGGATATTGATCCCATGGCCACAGTTGTTGTAAAATGAGCATCAAAATCGACTCCTTTAGTATATCCCTCGTTTAAACTAACGCACTGAATAGATAGAATGTAAATATGTATTAACACTTGGTATATTAAAATATAAACAAGTGACTTACTGGCTTAAGTACCCGGACGATGAAGTATGTTTTGATGCCAGCCTGCCGAAGCATTTCTTCGCGACGTTCTCCGTGAGCGGGCTCCACCTCAAACTCGTTGTTAAGAAAACTCAGAGTTACTTCAGAAACATGTACGCGTCTGTAAACAAAACTTTTATAAATAGAATGTAACTACGTATACATAAATAGAAACAGCTAGTAAAGTCGTCGAATAAATAAATCTTTTAAAACCAACGTTCCAACGACTGAGAACTGACGAATTAAATTAACCTTCTTTAGATGATGCTCTTTTATCTTTTGCATGCATGCGGAAATAACATTATTTTGGTAAAATTTGCGACGCGTAGGTACTATAGAGTTGGTAAGTATGTCACAAATTGATTGCTGGCAGAAAAATGAAATGTGTTATTATTACTATGACATTTTTTAATAAAACCAAATTGACTCATATATTATCATAACAAGATTGTTAGGAAAGAACTCGTCTCGTTAAGGAGAAGATTAAAAGTTATGACCATAGACCACTTAACTACTTTTGTATAAATTGCAACCAATTTATTCAAAAGTTGTTAAAGCAGGGTTTCTGTACATATATCTTCAAGTGTACTACGATCTACGGAAATTTGGGACTAACCCTGCCATTCCACTGCTCTCCATCTTGTTAGCGAGTTCAACGTCTCGAGAGTAAACATCGAATTGCCACTGTCTCTGACCTAGCACTCCCGCAAGAACTGCACCTGTGTGAATGCCCACGCGCATGTCCACTGGGGAGTTTGTCGTCTGCTGAACATATCTGACCAGAGCAAAATTTCGATTAAATTCGCATACGTTATTATATTAGGTACTTATATAAGAGTGACTCGTACTCACTTGATCGCTTTGACCATAGAAAGGCCCATATGCACACAGAGCACGGCGTGGTCCGGACGCTCAACAGGCGCTCCGCTGATACAATAGTAACAGTCCCCAAGAATTTTAATACGAAGCTGTTGATATTTCTGAAAAATAAAACAACAATTTATAAAAGCCCAGACTGGCGTATTAATTTACAGCGGACGAGACTTGAAGACGGAATAATAAATTAAATTTCTTTACCTCAGCAAGTCGATCAAAACGAGCAAACAACTCATTCAATATTGCGACGAGATCTTGCGCTGAATAAGTTGAAGAAATAGCCGTAAAGCCTACGATGTCGGCGTACAAAATACTGCAGATGAACAAATAATATGTTAATATAACTTAAAGTAGTTTATGAATTACTTAAATGATGTTAAACGCTCATACCTGACATTTTCATGGCGAGACATGTAAATTTTTTTGAATTGTGTGTCAATCAGTCCTAGTTCTTTTCGCATCTGAACGGCAACATGTTCTGGTAGCACCGATAGCAGAAGCCTCTCCTACAAATATCGTATCGTATGATATATGTACCAACATAAGTAGTGTATCAGATTTATCGCATACTAGCAGCTCGCCCCCGCTTCGCACGGGTCCAGCTATCTCGCTATCAAAGGGTTACTTTATACTTTATACGATAAGAACCTTCTCCTGACAATAACAAACACAACAAAAAAAGAATTAGCAAAATTGGTCCAGGCGTTGTTGAGTTATGTGCTTACCAACACATTTTGCGATCCATTTTTATATATTAGAAGATTATAGAGAAAAAAACTAAACTAATTCGATTATGAATATTCAATTGAATTACGAACTATTTGAAGTAAAAATATTTATCATACATGTAACAGAATACCTCATAATATGAAATATTATTTCTTAAAAGCATAACAATGCTATAATTAGTCACTGAACTTGAGCTAGCAATAATCTATTCCGCTAGTGCGTCCCTACTTCCGCAATTTCTCTTGTTTACATTCAAACAAGAGAAATTTGTGTACCAAATTGCATACAGAAAAAAAATAAGATAACATATTTACTTGTTTGATTTGTTTGTTTCTCTCCGTCTACCCTATGATAGATGATGGAACTACGCATATAAGTGTGAGATGTGTCAACAATGCATCAGTGCGCATGAATCCAATTCACTGACGTTTCTCGGAATTTCATGGATCACGGATGGTGAACGATTGGATTCTAGCTAGAGGCTTTTGTGTACACTGTCATACACAGGTGGTAATTATGAAATAATATGACATATAGTAAATATTTTTCTATCTTTTATATAAAAATGGATCGCAAAATGTGTTGGTAAGCGCATAACTCAACAACGCCTGGATCAATTTTGCTAATTCTTTTTTGTTGTGATTGTTATTGTCAGGGGAAGGTTCTTTTCAAAGAAAATATTAGAAAAGTAGAGTGGAAGATTAGGAACAAGTGACCCTTTGATAGCGAGATAGTTGGACCCGAGCGGAGCGGGGATGGCCCTAGTGATTAAATGAAAATCTTTTGACAGGTAATAGCTTAACCTAATATACAGAAAACAAACATAGCAATTTAAACGAAGTAGAAACTGTAGCTAAATTTGAGAGGAAAGATTTAGAAAAACCACTTATAACCTTTTTAAAAAAAACCTTTTAGCACCTTTTTTTGACAAAATTTTACACGACTATCCAAGACAGTTCTTAGGTAGGTACTGGGTAATATGTCATATTCTTGATTGATTGTACTTGAGGACACAAAGATAAACTTTTTAAAATGATGTCGCTAAGACGGCATCTGAGTTATTTGAGATTTCGTTTCAGATTAGCCTAGTCCAGCTGGCCAGATTTAAACTCTTAAAATTGAAAATTCATTACAGGTACTCAGTACTCGCTCTTCCGCGCGCGCCTCAAAGAGCTAATAGACCACCACAGACGGGGCCCTATAGGGCTGATGTTCAGCCGGCGTTGCGGGGTAAGCGCAATGAGGCACCGCGACCTCGGCCCAGAGCAGGAGAAGGAACAGGGGGGTTTAGTCAGTAAGAGTCTAAAACTCCCTCCCGCCCGGCCCTGAGCGAGAGAAGTCGTTTGATGATATTTCCCCTTTCAAAAAAAAAACAGGTGTCTTGACTATCGGTAATGCCAAAAATTTTAGACAACGGTAAAAAAAATCTGCAGGGCACTGCCATTTCTTTCCCCATGATTATTTTACTTATGATAGATATTTTTGGTTGTCATAGGAATAGACTACATGAATACAGATGTATGTAGTGGAATTTTTTGCCAGCTTTTGGAAGTAATGCGCAACCCACTGTTCTGTAGCTTTTAAAATGAAAGAGATGCATGAAAACTCCTGCTGAAAATGCGTTTAAAAGGGATCTCGCAATAGCTTTTGAATAAGCTTCTTTTTTCATTTACTTGCTACTTACAAGTTTATGGTTAATATCGATAATACATATAATAAGACAAGACCCATATTTTGACATTTCACCTCATACTTATCGTTCTGTCGTGTATACGTTTATTAAAATAGCTGTAAGTATCTAACATCTGAGTTTTGCGTGTTTGCTTGTTTTCAGCATTCAATAAATATTCACGCTTGCAATAATTTACCAATCGTAGTTACAACATTTGTGCAAGTATTTAATTGTCAGTATAAATATTTTAAGCTAAAATTCTGGTATGTTGATCAATATTTTACGACATTTTATAAAACAATAACTGTAATAGTAAACCATAATGAAATGTATAATTCGCAATTTGAACATTTATTAACTGAGTAAGGCCATTTTAATAACAATGAGAGAACTGAATCTAGAACTGTATCTACATTATTTTTCATAACATGTTTGTCTCAATCACTATGAAGTACTTATTCTTCAAAATGTTCATATAATCTCTTATAACAGACTTAAAATTACAAAGTTTAAAAATAGGAATAAAAAATAGCTAAGGTAGGCACTTAGCTGCTCTTTACGTTGACGTTTCGAAAACCTATTTCTTAGAGGACTTTAACGTTGCCATTAATTGATTGGAAACTGCTCCATAAGCTGCTTCCGCTGAAACGTCGCTCGTGTAATAACCACTATCCCTACCTAGAATTCCTTACATCATGGTGCCTATATTACGTATGTGTGTGAATAAGCCGTAATTTAGAAACCATTGGTTAGATGGAGGATCAGAATCTAGGATCAACGAAACACTATCAATTGCTGGAAATTTGGTGAATAGCTAGGAATAAGTAACATATATACATGTCACAAAACATAGGTATCTCATTGTACCTTAGAAATAGGAATATAAAACTGAAAACAATCACCTGTTCTTTACTCTGTTGTTCAATCGTCAGTTTGTCGCGCAAGCTTCGTTTCGTTTCTTGAAAAGAACTTCGCTGTTGCTTTTCACTTATTGCATATGCAGTACCACCCAACATCGTTGCACCAAGCAACAAAGCGCCATTTGCAATTTGCTGTAGTAACATTTGAAGATTTAAATTTTTCGTTTCACACTTCAATATCGATTTAAGATTGACACTTAATGCTAAGACTCACTTGAAAATAAAAGTCGTCAGCCAGTCTGCTCTCAGATGTAGAAGCGTTGTAGTATTGCACCAGGAGATATCCAGTAAACGATATTGTACTGTATAAGATGAGCAACACGTGATGTAATGGAAGCGTGGCGAGGGTAAAATATTGGAGCACCACGGCCCATCCTAGCAATTCGTTATATGAATCTCCCAGTCGCCGAGACGCGCTCACCAACAGTTGGGCCCAGAGTACGAACCACGCTATGTGGTTAAGGAGAGTACGCGCGGGCCGAACACACAGGTACACCGAGGCCAGGATCAGATTCGCTACCAGTGCTATTGCGACTGAAGCGTAGGCGAACGAGAGGTCTCGTTCTCCGGGAACAACCACTGCGAACGCCTGCAACAGCGCTCCGGTCGCCAACAGCCGAGGCACGGCTCTTTGCCGCTGTCGCTGCGTGTATGCCGAGTACAACTTTTCTTCTTCTCGGTCTGTGAATCCCCATGGTGGCACTAAACATATCCAGCATGGTGACTTTTTCAAAGTTCTCGCTTGTATTGGTTTCTCCATTGCTTTTAGTGTTTACTTTTGTACCACTTCACCAGTTTAAGCCATTTATTGCTAGAAATGCTCTCCATTATTGTTGTCATTACTTTCAGAAACACAATAAAACTGTTAAACTGTAAAAATAATTGAAGTAAGTAGGTCGTGCGTATGATTTATGCGGCAAATAGAACAATGGTTTATTGATTTTACCCAACCACAGTTAAAAGGAAATTATAAAATGCATACTTACTGCGGAAAAATACCTATAATAAAATTAATGAATGGACTTCTTCAAACGTAAATCCAGACATGATTTCGTTGTTAATCTCGCTTGATCTCAAAACCAAAACTCTCTTTCCCGTATAGGCTACATAAAGGTTCCTACTCCTTAATCATTATCATCAGCCGATCCGTGCCCACTGATCAAAATCAAATCATTTTCGCGATTTTGACCTTTACTGTCAGTGGTATCTACTTAGCTTAGAAAGTACACATATCTCAGAAATGTGACTTCATTGATATCGTCGAACTTGGCTGCGGCCACTAAAGCAATTACTAAATACTACTACTACTCCTAAATAATAACTGATTTATTTAATATAATGTGGTAGCGTATGACTCATGGTCTGCTATTAAATTAATAACAAAGGTAATACCATGTCTAGTATTCTTAAAGGATCGTTAAGGAAGATTGTTTGTGACATGACTGAATCATACTTTAAACTTAGCAAATATGTATCATTACATAAAAATATAATTTTAAATTGTACATATTTAAGAGTTACAATAACGAAAACGATGCGCTAACAAAATAGAATATTTCAAATTTTTACAAATGACTCGCATATGACAAGTAGCATAATTTCAAAATAATGTTAAATATTTGTAAACATAGTTCGTTGCATAAATACAAAGAATCGTGAACTTGAACAACGTGTGTCACATCGTACGCGTGCGTATGAACGTCAGAGAGATCATCAGGCGGAGACTTTCCGTTAGCAAGACGGCTTGATCGAGGACGCCTGTGTAATGAATAAATTACACGCTAAAACATTGTTCCGATGTTCATTCATTAACTGGGCCGTCTCAAGACATGTATCTACTTACCCATAGTTTCGTCGACTGATTTCAATATTGACAATCGTTGCGATGGATGTTAGTGATGTGACCGTGAAACTTAACTCATAAGTTATTTGTTTCACTTATACCGCTCATTGCCAACGCTTATGACTTATTTAGTCACGGCTTACGACTGTGTTGAAATTTAACAAAATATGAAATGAAATTGACATATTCTATTTTCAAATAGCTTCAATTTTAGTCTTGCTGACCATTTGTAAGTAGGTAAACGAACCAGAAAACAATTGAAAGATCAAATACTATGTACTTACTTACAATCTAGTCAATTTGTTTAGTGTTAGGTTGCTCTGTCTCTATTTTACTGAGTACGGTTATCAATTAGGTAGGTTAGAACCTACTTTGACAAAGTGTCAACAAAATGTAAAGTCAGTCTGACAAATTGATTTCCCGTTCCATAATTTAATGTGGCTATGATAACAAAATTAGTTGCAAATTTACCAATTGTGACATGTAAATGATTAGTTCATTCGCAGTAATAGTCATGTGATCCTTTCCTGTTACAATTACAACGTTATGTTAGGTGGACTATGATCTTTGACAAGGATGACAATGTGGTGATGAAAAGCTTTTGCTAAAATTACGCTACGCTACACACACACTGTACACAAATACATTGAATTATCTAATGATGATAATTCACATTCCACATCAAATTGATGTGCGGGTAAGGTGTGTCTAATCAAAGTACCTGCTCATATAGAAACTACTTTAGGAAGATAACATAGGATTAGTTAAAACAAGATTTATTTAAGAGGACGATACGTTTAACAATGTATTAGTACTTCGGATGATGGATGACCTACATAGTAACTTCACGTAAAATCTGAAAATCTGCTTAACCTAAGTATGTGAAGAATGATCTTCCGGGTGTTGGTACTTGTCTTGGAATTTATACATATCATGTTTCTTAGAACTAATATTTTTTATAATTACCAAAATCATCATGGGACTTCAGTATAGGTAATAGAGATATCTAATGATGATCATGAGCAACCACAACACAAAATAAGATATTCAAATTTGAAATTAACATTATTTAATATAGATATTACGAATAAGTACAGGTCTTTATTGTCAACAAAGGGTTAAAACAGATTATGAATATAGGTGGGTGGGTATACCCACGTAATACCAGATGAGTGTACCTAATACTCTGTTAGAGTGGTGGCCGACCAAGTGCCGTTTAGTCTCTTTATAGGCTCGCAGTATTCAATGTAAAGTACGTTATAAACCACAGATATGAAAAGCAACATTTTATCATTTCCTTTTGTTATGAGGATCGTAAACGTTACAATCTACTTCAGTCATTATTATACATATATAATTCTATTCTATTTCCCGCCTAAATTATGTTCCCGATGATGTAAGCAATCTCTGTAAAACTCTCACTATTGACCCATAAATATTTAAATCGTGAGAGGATGACCCTTATATTACAAGATCGCGAGTAATTCAATAAGGATGTAAACCGAAAATCGTCTTACGTAGATTATTACAGGAGGAATAGTAATCTTGTGGAAATATTGAGCGCGTTGGGTTAAGAGGGCGCGGGTGGCGCGGCGGGCACCGGACGCCGGCGGCTCGGGCGGCGCGAGGGCGGTGCGCGCACGTGCTGGCGTGCGACTGCCGCGCGCCCGGCCGCCGCCCGCCGCGCCCGCCGCGCCAGCCGCGCGCCGCCACCCTGCACCGCCACCCGGCACCGCCACCCGCTACTCCAGCCACCCCACGCAGCACGCAACCCATTCCACTACACATTGATTCCACTCACTATGTTTTGTTAACGCTATTACTACGACTATTTTATTTTTCTTTCCTACTCAACAGAAAGTTTAAATCGAGTGAGGGAATCAGTGATAATTTATCTTCCGAAGAAATTATTTGAATCAATAGAATGATCTTATTTATAGAGTCTAGGTTTATCCCTGGTTGATCAGCAACATTTAGCTGTGTCACTTCAAAATTAGACGTGTATTAATACGCTGACAAGTAATACTCAAGAACATTAAAATAAAATATTTAGTAACGTAATGAATACATACATACTATGAAAAAAACACTTAGCTGAAACCTGGATTATTTATCAAAGCTCGTAAAAGTATGTTGGTCAAGGTCAAGGCGCCTACCTCCCTTCCAGATTAGATTCGATTCTTTAAAGAATACTCCAGTATTTTAGAAGAAGCCGGGGTTGCGGGTAAGCTCAATAAGGCACCGCGCGGCCTCGAGCAGGAGCAGGAGTAGAAACGGGGGGTTTTTAGTCAGTATGAGTCTGACATTTCCTCTCATCTCACTCTGGGCGGGAGAAGTCATTTGATGAATCTCCCGTAACAAAGTATTTTAGAAGAGCAAGATAAAACAGCGCTGTCAATACTATTTTTAAAACGAAAGATATCATCTAATAAATGATGCTGTTTGATGTGTAGTAGATTTCAGGACAACATGTTATAATATGGCTTAAGTTGTTTGACCTTTCAGGCAAGGAAAGTAAGTAAGGTAGTGCCTACCCACTTACCAAAAATTTAATTAAACAACCTACACGTCATGGCGATCCAAACGACTTGCAAAGGAAGGAACATCCAACCTACGACTTCTCGAAGCAATTTGTCGTATTTTTGAACATTTTAAATTTATTTTAAATAAGAACAGACTAACAAAACTTTCAGGATACGATGTCAGTTGTGAAGATAATGACTCAAATTGATTTCAGTTTAGTTATGTAAGTATATACTATATATTTAAATCCTACATACCTATACGTGCTTCTACCTAATTACTATCTACGTTTTTAGTATATTGATCAGTCGGCAGGTTGGATTTTCTTAATGTCGTCAGTAAGAAATTATTGTAGTACCTTTGTAACTTTAATACTTACCTACATAATTACCTACATTTTATTTCGCAAATAATAGGTCATGTTCTACGTAAAACCACGTTTTGTTTGTTATTTAGAAACCATAATCACAACATAGAATAAAACAAAGTCACTTTCCCTATAAGTATCCGAAGAATTGGATGCGGTTTTTTTAATAGATAGTTTTGTATTGTAGAGGATAGTATGTAATATACAATAACATTTAAATTAAACAGTGGAGTAAATTATCCGCATTGTACCCGTGCGAAGCCGGGGCGGGTCGCTAGTTAACAATAAAACATGTTGCGTGTATTGCGCGTCACCGGCGGCGCCGCTGAGTGCCTCTACGCCGTAGGCGCTGCGTAGCACTGTCTACAAACTCAAGGCTTCTATTTCCTTTGTTAAACCTTACAGGCAATTACCAATTTCTTGATGTGATTATGGCGAGGTTACCTTGTGAATCAATCAACCTCAAATATCAAAACGCTAAGGTGAATTATGTATGACTATACTTGAAACCTTGATAATGTACCTAGCTAATCAGACGAGAATAAAATAAAATTTCAAAAAATCTCTTAGGTCTTCAATAAAATGATTCATTAAGAAATTAATACACTCGTAGGTAATCTATAGACACTGTATTAATTATGCAATTATGTGAATTTAGTGTGAGAATGGACAGGTTCGACTGGAAGCCTCACAGAATGTTATTGTGTGGACCACCTAGAGGACAGAGTGGATAGAGTAGATGACGGCATACGGTGGCAGAGTGCCCCGCTTGAACTGAGCACCGCCGTGTTCTCAGGGAAGTGATTGGCGGCGGCGACTTCTCACGTAGGTCGTCGCCCGACCAGATCCAAACCCGAGTGTACGGGGCTTTGAGTTCCACGCGCGCGCGCCTCAAAGAGCCAATAGATTACCACAAACGGGGCCCTATGGGGCTGATGTTCAACTGGGGTTACAGGATAAGCCCAATGAGGCACCGAGGCTTCGGCCCAGAGCAAGAGAAGCAACGGGAGAAGTCATTCATTGATTTTCCCCTGACAAATAAACACCTCACAGAATACTAGTCCAAAATATGTTACGAGTGGGGCTACCTGAGGCCCCTTCAGCTTACCTTAGCGGACCTGAAATTTTACCTACAATTGTAAATTACATGACTATTCAATATAATGGTGACATTGTTGATCTTAGCAACGAACCGATAAAACTTCTTCAAGTTTGGGCTCAATTGAATGGTCCTTACGTATGGTCGGTCTTACAATTTTAACCAGGCCCTATTAGGAACTCAGTGATTAAATGACAGAACGTCGTAGGTCAGCTATGCGGTCTTATGATTTGTCTCTAGGCACGACTATTTTGTGTTAGATGGTAAACAGCAATCTATCCATTTACTGGACATGAAGTTATCATTTCTTATTATAAACGTCTTCGAAGGTTTAACGTCACAAGTCTGCCTTTAGCATGTGTGGTGTTAGAAGATGTACATAAATAAGATGCCCATTGACAAAAGATAAATAATAGCATGTCTCATTTTAACTCATCCAAATAAAATTAATCTATACTATTAAACATAAAAAAGCTTGTTTCTTTGTTTGAATACACTTATATCAGAAAATACTGGTTCGAATGGATAAATTATTTTTGATTTGGGTAGATAAGCAGAAATTGAGCAGCTGGTGAAACCACGCAAGACTAGCTAGTATTTGATCAAGCATACCTAATATATAATACATCATATTTCGCCATCTATATTCTCGGTGAAAGAACAACCTATCTAGGTACTTACCAGGTTGGCGTGAAAAACATAGTCACATTTACCGCATACCAGATTAAATGATTGTTTGAATAAAGTTATCTGAACCGGGCGTTTTTTGATTTTTTTTTTAAACCTGTAAGTTATAGGCCTCGGCACCACAATTATACCTACCTAAAAACGAGATCACAACAGCAAAATAATTGACAAACGTTGCATTTTCTCTCCTAACAATTTCACCAATCTCTAAAAACTGTTAGGTTATTGTTTTTGTTATTTAAAAATCATTGTGACGATCGGTAGTTCCTTAGCGAACACTGATACGATTACGATTGGTAAATACGTACCTACATTCCATAGATATTTGTACACTTAAGGTCCGAAAATAATCAAAAGAAATTATAAATTTGTGTGTTCGTTTCCGTACACGAGATCACAGGATCCCGGACTTTTGGAAGGCGTACGTAGGGACCGAAACCAACTCGCCCTTTGAGCAACTTTAATATGTGAAATGAGTGCACCTAAGGACAATCCCTAGTTGATGCACTACTATTGTGAAATGTGGTAAAAATTGATAGAGTTATAGCTATGGTTTGCTATGGACTGGTGGATATGATAACTATTGAAATACTATGGCCCTTGCCACTGACAAATATTGATACATACGGATAAACAGAAACAGGCAGGGGGTGACTGGCAAACTCAATTAATGGGCCCCTGGAAACGGCCGCTGGCATGTAGCGACACGGGGGCAACACACGTTGAACTGTTTAGGGAAGGAGAGGCATCCCACGACTAACAGGGCAATTCCGGAAGTACGGTCAAGACCCCTACCAGCAGACTCAGGGGAAGGATGTATCTCAGTAAGGCTGAGATACATCCTTCCCCCGAGTCTCCTTCACTCAAGCCAGTCAATTGAGGCAAGAATGAGGTAGACGGGCTTGTTCCTCATCAGTGTTCACTCCAGCTAGTCAAGAGGACTAACCAGAGATGAAGGACAAGATACCTCCCGGGAGTCAGGTCCGTGGGGTCGCCACTGCCCAACAGCTCGGGACAAGCTGCCTAAAAATTAATCAATCAATCAATTAATTAAAAAATATTATTATTATTACCTCATAAACATATTCTTATCGAAAAATTGCGGCTTTTCTACCATAAAACATAGGTAGGTAAGCCTTAATTTTAATCTCTATGCCAGGATGTTGTCACTTTAAGGACCACCTGGAGGTGGCAGTGAAGTTGGACTGAGCTCCGCCTTGTCCTCAAAGAAGTGATCGGTGGTGGCGACGCGTCGCGCCCGGCCTTAGTATAGTCGCCATGGTGCGGAATCAGAGGAACTGGAAAGTTGGAACGGGGTGCGTGATGGAACTATCCCACTTGTACCCCTGCCATTACGTTGAGGACCGTTGACATTATCCAGGTACCGTAAGCGGTCTGCAGATATCGTGCAAGGAAGGGACTTCGCCGCCCGACCAGAGCTAGGCTCGAGAGTACGGCAAGTAGCGTTCTGCGCGCGCCTCAAAGCGTCATTAGACCATCACGTATGGGGCCCAATAAGGCTGATGTTGAGTCAGGATAGCAGGTGCCCGCGCAATAATGCACCGCGGCCCCAGTCTCCAGTCAGAATTCAGATCTCTTCATCCAACGCTACTTATACCAAAGTTCATACATACTAAGTTACTAACGTTTAATCTTCCTACATATACCCATTGAGTATGGAGATTGTGTAGTAAATATATAATAATAACAAATATAAAATACTTTCAAAGACAAAATGAATTTATTTTTCTTTGCAGATTCGTCACTCTTACTCCCTGACTTTTTTTATAATCTGTGCTGGGTTCTGTCAAAATGACGTTTCATGACGTTTGGTGTGTTGATGTATCAGTTTTGTTTGGTTAATGCTGGTTGCCGAGATTCCTTAATTCTTATTTATTAATCACTGTATCCAACATATTTTGTACCCTTTATAGTAATGTTTAATTACGTTACTGATAACTTATTAAAATCTTGATATTAATTATTAAGAAATAGTGTATTTTCCAAAATGGATATAACATTTATGAAACCAATACAACCCAAGGTCTTCAAAGCAATTAAAGATTTGGATATTGAAGCTCTTAAGAATTTTACACAAGATGAAATGAGACC